ACTCAATGATAAACCTGTAGCTTTTAAAAGTTTATCGAAAGTTTCCGAAACCACGGAAAAATACTTTCCCGGTAACTTTCCAAGAGCCGATAGAACGAAAAGTTTGGAGTGCCAGCTCAGTTGCTAATGGAGTGCTTCAATCAACAAGTTGAGTGTTGAGCGAAATCAATCGAACGATTTGGGAAAGTTCTCGACTGAGATGATGCTTTCAGTAACAGGTCATTGTCCTCGTTTGGAAGCTATTTTTTGACAGATTTTATTTCTATGGGCGAGGGTAGAGTTGAAGCCACTTTTGAATTATTATTCAAATATTTATCGATAATATCCAATTGGGGCTGTTTATAAAAGTTCCCAAAATAAATTCATATCAGAACATAGCCACACATATCACATAACATATCATAACATTCATCATTATACAGAACCATTAAAGGAATTTAGATACATGAGCACTTAACAGGCAATAGAGAAAAAAACAGGCCCAAACGACGAAAGGCACGCTAAAAAGAGTTGGACGAAATCGCGATTTTCACCATTTAATGAGTATCTTTCCCTATGCCATGTTTCATCGTGCATGAACATGCAATCGTTTCCAGTGGTAACATTCCGTTCCCCAAGGACATCACATGATTCATCTACTCTGATATAAAGCAAAAAAAATGAGCGTTCAAAAATGACAATACATTAACATACGTAAACTTCGCTTTTAATTACAGAAGCAATCACCCCCCCCCCTTTCCCTAAATAAGAATGAATATTAAAAAAAAAAAAAAAAAAAAAAAAAAAAAAAAAAAAAAAACAGCCGCCACGTAGAAACATTGCATGGAAAAAAGTCTTGCCATTCATTTTTTGTTGATGAGGTATTCCGATACTGCTAATTTCAACTTTCAATATATTGAAAACTATATTTAACTGACCTTAACCGACGAATAGATTTTCACTAATCTAACCTCTTCATAAGAATATCTGGATATGCTTGTTACGACGCATATTGTGAGTGATCTTCTCGATAATCAATGCTCAGAAATAAAGAAAAGCATAAGTACATTCATTATTTCATATTAGCTCTCACTTTGTTTCTGAACCGTTTAAGAAAGATTTCTGATAAGACTTTTAGTCTATGGCTATACGGATTTGAAAAGTTTGAACGCGAATCGGGAATAAATATTTAAAATTTGAATTATTTTCAATTTGAATGTAATACCCTTTAATTAAATCATACAAACTTAAAAGAATAAAGTAATTCAGGAATTATTATTATTTCATTCCAATGAAAAACAATGAAATAATGTATTTAACATTTTATTTTATTTAAAGAAAAAAGAGAGTTGTCTATTTTAAGGATTCAGTGTAATTATCATGTGCGTCGCCGAGCATTTTAGGAGCATTATTAAATCATCTGGAGTCATTTGAATATTATTTTTAAGTTTAGTGAAATGTCCTACAATTAATTGTGTATTACAAAGCTGGCATGAAAAATAAATAACTGATCGTCGATTTGAGATAATAATTTCAAAACGTTAAATCTCTGCGAAGAAACGGATCGTATTCATCTATCAAAAAATGAAATCAGCTCGAGTATAGTGTAGTCAGAATCGTACAATTTCCTCACATTTTTTGAAATAAGTTCTAAATGTATGTAAAGTATAAGAATTTCCACTTTGTGTCCCCTCAAAACTAGCAATTTTTTTGTAGAGAAACAAAAATGATTCGCTATTTATTGAAAAATTTTATTTAATAAGAATCAAGAAATACGATCTTGAAATCACTGTAATCGAGCTGGTTCGTTTCTGTTAAGTGCCATCCAAATCACACTTACAAAAAATTGGTCACATGACCCGAGAATTATTGTGGATATGACGTCTGATTTTAAGAAATTTCATCAATACCTCTTTTTGCAGTAGTTTGAGTGGTAATATTCATACCGTTCTCCCGGAAAGAAATTGAGCAATTCATGCAAAATCAGTGCATGCATTTGCTATTACTTAGGAGTTATCCTGGTTTCATCATTTAAATTAGATGTCAACCAGAGGGCTACCGGGTAAAAGTTTCTCGGAATCATTTTTTCTAAAAAATTCTCTTGATTGAAATATAGCGCTTCTGTTCATGCCTCGGTTTTTTTGAAGCAGGAACTAAACTTGTTCCGTTCAAAACCGCAATTGATTTGAATTGTATTTAATGAAGCACACTCAAAAAATCCGCGACTTTATTGCTGGAAATTGAGGAAAAGAACCGCATCTACGCAAAATAGACAAGCACGCGAGTTCAACATGATTAATGAAATGCCACATTTTTAAATGCTCTCGTCCTTTCTGAAAATAATGTGGCGGGACTAAAGTATTCATACAACCCAGTTCTGCCAACTTCAGCTTTCAAGCTAAAAATACTTTTTGCCTGGATACCCGATAGTCATAAAAAGCTAATAATTGCTGGAAACCTCGATGGTGTTCGACTAACCGATGGACTACCGATTCGAGTCAATGCACTGTTTTCAGGTTGAAACGAAATGATACTCGGAACATGATCGTGTTGTGTGAGGACTTTTGAAACCGCAGGTTTTTAAAGTAATCTTAAATCTCTTAATCATAGTCTATGCTTGAAAAAGGCAAGCAGGACCAGTAAAAAGTTTTATTCTATCATGATGTGCTCTTTGAATGCTCAAGTTATTTTGTGAGTATTATTATTTACAATGATTGAATTCATGGAATTGGAATCTATCACTGAATAATGCATTCCTGTAAATACCGAGCAGAAGAAGAGGAAGGAAAAAGAACATGAGCGTACGGAGGGAGAGTCCCAGGGGGGGGAGGGGGGCTGCCCCCCCCCAGAAAT